TAGTGGCCATGGCTTTCCTAAAGAAGCCTTCTAGTTAACCTTGGAACATAACATGACAGCTTACACTCCTCACTAGGTAATTGATACCCTTAATTCAATGGCCTTTTATTTGGTTTCTGACAGCAGAATTAAATACCAAACTTTCATCTTACAAACACTAGAACTTACTGTAAAATTCCATTACATTCTTAACCTGGCCACCTTATTACTGGACCTAATCCTGAAGTCCTCTTCCAACACCTCTGTAGAGCCAGTTGACCTTACTTGCAGCAACCAGACCCATGTCTTTAGTACACTCCTCTCCTTGATCCTAATCTACACAGTTTGCAGATTGAAGTAGCTTTATGATGGAGTGATGCAGAATGTCTGGGTATGGTATAGTCAGCCTTACAAAAGTCATAGAGTCAGAACCCCTTCCAGGCAGCTGTACATCAGCCCCAAAGGCCAAATTGGTTGCCCTCACATGGGATCTTCAATTGGGTGCAGGTATGAGACTTAACATTTATACATGCTTAACACATGCTTTTCATGTTACTATTGCTCATGTGGCTACCTTGAAAGGGAGGGGTTACTAACAGCCCACAACATCATTATGAAGCAGAGCCCACCTGCATGCAATAAGGTTTCTTACTCAGATAGGTATCATGCATTGTAAGGTCCATCATAAGAATCAGTCATGTTTTCTGGGACAACAATTGGACAAATGAACTAAATATGGTATCTGTCCCTTCTTAAAGCAGACAGCCTTAATCCCCTACTCTACTGTCCTCTCTTGTCCACAATATACTCCTCAGGAAACTCAAAATACATTAAAACAAGGTTTCACAGCCACTCCAGAGGGATGGCTACTGTCTTAGTTACTTTTATCATTGCTGAGACAAAATACCTATCACCCAAAGTTAAAGGGGTAAAGGTTTATTTTGCTCACAGTTTTTAGATGTTTCAGTTCCTAGTTGGCTGGCTTCAAGGCAGGGTGGCATGACAGAGGGACACTGCAGAGGAGGAAGAGTTCATGGCAGGCAGAAGGCAGAAGGTAGAAGGCAGCAAGCTACAAATGACAAGCAGTGGCCCTCTGTCCCTTATATCTTAACCAGGTTCCACACCTTTAAGGTGGGTAGCACTCACATGCAGGGTGGGGCAACCTTAATTCTAGCATTACACCATGAATCAATCCCAGCATCACATCCTTGATCCCAGCAGCACACCCCCTAGATCCAGCCACCTCTGAAAAGCCCCACCTATGACTGCATGAGGCTTTAGGGGGACATCTAGATACAAGCCATAACAGCTACAAAGCCCCACAAATAAATTATTGCTACCTAAATCTTCCCCATAAAAATTCTCAACAGTCTTCATTAGGCCACACATTTAGGAGCAAAGGTTCTCCAGACTTTAACAGTGCCTCTTTTTATAGGAACCAGGATATTACAAACTCTAAGACATTTCAAAGACATGTTCCACTTGTACCCTGATTAATCCAAAAGGATCCCTTCTTCTTGTGCAGTCTACCCAACAAAGGGGAACTATGCCAGGGAATATTAACAAAAGACTTTATCCATATGTTGTCATCCAAATGTCTTAAATATCTATTTGTCTTTCTAGACACTTTTGCTGGTGGATAGAGGCATTTCCCACCCAAACAGAAAGAGCTTCTAAAGTCAATACGGACCTTTTGGTACATATTAAACCCTGCTTTGGTCTTTCTCAATCCTTATAATCGAATAATGGCCCTACATTCATTTCCAACATAACCTCTTAAAAGTGAGGCTCTTAATTTGTCAGTCAGTGAGGCTCTCCAAATTGTCACCACTTGCAGCTTGACATTCTTAATCCTCCAAAAAAGTACAAAGAACTAACCCAAATCTTAAAATGATCCTTTCTAAACTCTCCCATAGGACACAACAATCTTGGCCCACTCTTCTGCCAATTTCACCCTTTAAAGTCCTGCATCACTCCCAAATCTGTAACTCATCTCTGACATTTCAAAGTCTTCTATGGCAAACCTTTCCTTCAGGCTGACATCTTGCTAGATCCAGGGGTTCACTACCTATCTCACTATGTCATATCACTGGGACAAACTGTCAAGACTATTACTGACTACCAGAACAAATGTAGTTCCAACTGGACTCTATTTGTTTAAGATCAGGCCCTCTTGTTAACTCAGGGGATAGAGTACACTTAAAAATCCTTCCATAGGTCAAAAATCCACTTGAGGCAGTCTAGAATGTACCTTACCAGGTATTGTGTACTTGACTGACCACATTTGTCAAGCTACAAGGTCAGTCATTTTGGATCCACTTACCAAAGAAAAAGACTCCTCCAGACAACTGAAGCAACTATATCTTTGACCTTTTCAGAGATCTCCACTTCTTTTTCCAATGAAAACCCAAGTGAAGAGTCACCCATAATTACCCCACATCCTGATAAATAGTCAGGATTCTTTTTCTCATCTTTCTGAGTTTTATGATATAATCCTACAAGCTCTTTTTTCCTATGACCCTGATGTCTTGCAGGACCCAACTCAATTCTGGGAATTTGTCATAGATTTTTTCCCCCAAGGGGAGCTTTCAGACTACTCTTGGACTAAGGTTTTCATTTATTTCAAGCCATTATTCCTGTTATTTCTCTACCAAACATTCTTGGATCTGCCCACTCTCCTACCTGGGGATATAAATAATATGGCAGTGGTATTATGGATGGGACCTATTTCTTGTTTTTATTTCCCTATTTCTATTTCCCTATTTCCCTATTTCTTGTTTCTATTTCCCTATTCATATTCCTTTACCATTGGGAACTAACTCCTCTTCAGGGAAAATGTCACCTTTGCTCCTTCTAAGTCTAACTTGGCTACTCTTACATTATATAACCCTTGTCCTTATTCTTATTCTTTAACATTGTCAGATTTTCTCCTTAGAAAATTCATCATGCTGTATTCCTTAAGGTTGACTGGTGGCCTTGATTACTTACTTCCTTATCCTACCTGCCTTGAGTGCCTATCTTATTACTTACTTGTTGCTGGGACAAAATACCCAACACCCACAAGTTAAAGAAAGAGAGGTTTACTTTGGCTCACAGTTTGTAAAGGCTTCAGTCTATAGTCAGCTGGCTCTAAGGCAGGGTGGCATGGCAGAGGAACATGGCAGAGGAGAAAGAGCTCATGGCAAGGCAAGCAGGAAGCAGGGTCGAGATCAAGAGAAGTAAAGTGATATATAGCATTCCAGGTCATACTCACAGTGACCCACCTGTTTAACCAGGTTTCACCTCCCAACATCATACCCAACTATAAACCCATCAGTGGGCTAATCCAGTATCCACACCCATGATCCAGTCACTTCCCTAAAACCTCATCTATGAGCAGCACATGAGGCTTTAGGAGGACATTTAGATATAAGCCATCACAGTGACCCCCTCCTTGCTGGTAAACGAGGCTCAAACTTCTTTGTTAATTCTTCCCAAATAATTGCTTCAGACCAAAACATGTTCAATATTTGGGTTTGCCATTCCCTTCCCCAGCAGGCACAAAATTGGAAATTCTGTAGTATAGATACCTCCTCCGACTTGAGGTACGAAGAAGGGCCCCCTCTGGATTCCCAAAGCTGGCCCTCTTTGTGTTTGCCTCCTTCCAGGATCTTGCTCTTTTCACAGCCTAAACAAAATTCTTCATGTCATTCATATCATGAGAGGATTTTCTCTCAGCTATTCATCACTACATACCCCCTGAACTCCATGTCCTAACAAGCCTCAACCTCCTTAACAAGGATAATTTCATTGTTTATCCTAGTTCAACCACTACATCTGGCAGTACTTACAATCTTACCCACTGGTACTCCCTAGAGACTAATCAAACATCAAAATGTGGCTTGTGGTTGAGATATGAGCTTGTTCCCTGGATGTTAAGACAGCAATTGCACTCTGGCTCTAGCCCTCACAGGATGAGCCAGCCCTGAACTAGGTGTGTGTGGAAAGTGGATTTCTACCCTTCTTTCATTGGATCAGTCACTTGAGGACTGAACCTAACCCACCTTGTTAATAATTTTTGTGCGAGACACCATGAGGATTGATGTTTTTATGTGATGCTACACATACCATTGACCCTTCAGAGCTTGTCCTAACTTTATATTCCTACAATAGGAAAGCTATTACTCTTCAGCACATAGGTAACTCAAGGCCCATGGGGCAATGTATCACCATTGACCTGGGACCACAAGATATCCCAATAGCAATCTATTCCCTAGCCATCACAGGTACCTGGATTTGATCCTGGATAGGGTGGTAGATTTGGCTATTGGTTTGGTAGCCCCTTGAGACAGCTCCACTTACCTTTAAGTAACACTGAAATCATCTCACTTGACTCCTGGAAAACTTGACAATTTCTATGGCCTTTCCATATGAGACTCACAACCTCTGAAATATCTATAAATTCTTTTGAGGCCCCTTTCTTTCATCATTCACTCTCTACCAAAAGCAGATATGGAAGAAGAAAGCACTGCCCAAATGTCAAAGAATTGACTTTGTGATCTGTTACGGGGGAAGTTTGTAGTGCTAAGCAACTGAGAAGAGGCTGTTTTAGCCTCCATCGGCTACTCCAGTTGTATTTACACCAGGGTCACTTGCTCTGCTTCAAGTAAGCTTTTTCAAAAAATACAGCAAAACAGTTACAACATTCCTTTCTATAATGAGCATGACCATTGAATTACCCTATGACCCTGGCCTGTATCTTATCATAAGGTTGACATATATAGCTGGCCCTATTGCAAAGAAGACGTACATCACTGGGTCAAAGGAGATAAAGAACACATAGTCTTATCCTCTCTAATATTCTTTTTGCCCACATGTCTTAGCTATAGTTTTTAGGCTCAAGGAACCCTTCTAAAGGTTCTGTCCTTTCCCCAAGAGATGCTATCATAAATTTCTGTTTTTTATAAGCCAACATTTTATTTAGCAGTTCAGACCAACTGAGACAGTACTGAATGATGTTTAATGAACAAATATTTGCACTCTGGATGGAACATTTATTAAGGCTCTGGCAATCTCTTGCAGCTGATCTGTACCCCACAGAAATTTACTGTCAGTCATGGGCTTTGGGAGTTCTCTGATCCTGCTATTTGAAGCGTCTCATTGTTCTCTTTACCCAGGACATATAGCTTAAGATCCTGGTGAAGACTTCCGGAGGAGTTCCTTTGCTGTCTCCATAGGAGACAATGCCTTGAGCTTTATTGTTACACACCAAGGGGCCACCAGAATCCCCCTGTAGGCAGAGAAAAGACAGGATACCAAGTCAGACCTTTCTGCTCCTGCTACCCTAAACCTGTGTCTCTCAGAGAAGGCAGCGGTGGATGGGCTTCTTCAATTGCTGGTGTGTGTGAGATGGCAGGATGGTGGGGGTACAGGAACGTGGTCTCTGGATCTTTCAGTGGCTGGGCTTCAGCCCTGGCTGTGATTACTGTCTTCAGATCAGAGTCAAAGTGCCTTCACCTTCTCCAGGAAGATGCTGCATATGTATATGCTGTGTGTAGGTCTTCCTCCCATTCCTCCAGATGCTAGATGGATAGGAAAAAGATTCCCACTCCACCTTGGTTTGGTCTGGCCTGGTGCCCAGGCTGAGACTAAGGGGCATAGAGTCTGTTCCCACTGCCTCATCTCTGCACAGGCCACCCTGTCCCAGGAAATATCGGCAAATGTTCATGTGCTTACCTTGAAGGCGACCTTCCTTTGTCTAGGGTCCCCAACACAAATTTCAGTCTGGCTGCTGTATGTGCTGAAGCGACGACTGCACTTCCGATCACTCTGCACTCTTAGCTGTGCTTCCTGCAGTCTGTCTGTCCTCCTGTCCAGGCTGACCCGGCCCCAGCCAGCCACTGTGCACAAGGCTCCAGGCCTCAGCTTCTCCCCAGCGTTAGGCAGAGCCACTGGCCTCACAACTCTATTCCGCCTGATTCTGTTCCTCAGCTGTCAGAAGAGTGCAGGCATTCTTGCTCAAGTGGGCCTCCCAATCAATGCTCAGGGACTGCTGCTACAGTACTCAACTTATGTTCCCCCTAGCCCACTCCCCAGGAGCTTTGCCCCTTTTTCTCCTCCATGGTCCCAGCACAGTGAAGCACCTACCCTAGGAGGGAACTGACTAGGCTGAAGAACCAGATAGGAATGCAGTACCTGCAGTAACATGATATCATTCAGGAAGGTTTGCTGGTCATATCCAGGATGGGGGATGGCTCTGAGCACAGAGATCCTCTGCTGGGTCCTTTCCAGCCTCCGGATGTTGTGGGCCCCCAGTGTGACGTTTATAACACTGCAAAAGAAAGGTTGGCCTAGAGGTAAGTATGGGCAGCAGGAGCTATGGCCCAGCAGCTGTGCAGTGCTATGGACAGCTCAGGGCAGGGCAAAACTGCAGCTGGAGAGAGGAGAGGGAATGGCAGGACCATGGGACAAGATCTCTGTTGCTCAGCCTCCCTGAGCTGGGGGTGGTGAGGGATGGTGACCTTAATGTTTAGTCTTCCAAATTAAATTGCAAAATAACTTGGGTTCATATGGTGAGCCTTAGTGCATGCTTTCCATCTCCCACTCTTTTAGATCATGTTTTCCTGTTCTTCTCATTTACACTGACCTCCCACCTCCCATTTCCCCAATTTTATTTGATCCCTTTTTCACCCTTAGCCAAAGTGTTGCTTTCAGATGGCCCCTCTGAGTTCCTCTGGGTCTGTGCTGCTGTCTTCCAGAGGATTGGCTGAGTTTCTTACCTTCCCCAGCAATGAGCTGCTGTCATCACAAAGTCTTCTCGTACAAGGAATCCCCCACAACTGGTCAGATCTTCTGGACTCCCCACCTGAAGATATGCCATATAGGGGTGGGAGTGGGGCCTGGCCTCTTGTCCTCCAATGATCTTCCCTGGAAGGAAGCATTCGGCACTTACCTCTGTGCTTGAGAACCTGCAGGGCAGGCAAAGGTTGGTGGCTTCAGAAAGTCTGGAGGGTGGGAGGGCAGGAGAGGTGATGTGGGAGAGAGAGGAGCTGATGGTGAGGGTTGGGTTCTGCAGGTGCCAGATGCGGGGAGGTGGCTCCCAGGCTCTGCAGACACCACTGCCACCCCAGACCTCATCTCACTCCCCTCCTCTGCAAAGGGAGAACAATGGTTGCTCCAGGCAAGGCCACTCTCAGCTTCAGGTCTGGAGGAGAGAGGCTCTGTTGTTATCTAGCATGAACTCTCCTTGGAGTTCACTGGCACTTTCTCCCTCAAGGAACTTTCCACATCCCTCTCTGAGTCCAGCTCATGGACAGCATAGGACTTTAAGAAACTAGAGCTGAGCTAATGGGACTGTTCCTTCTGTATCTCTGTCTCCTAGGCTTTGACATGTGGGCTAGAGAATGAATTTATATAAAATATACTCACACAACACTCACCTTATAGCAGGGTCAATGCTGTGCACATTAATAATTTAACTCTCACAGCAAATCTGTAAGGTTGCTACCAATCTCCTTCCAATTTAACAGTTGAGGAAATATGAATTCAAATACATGCTCAAGCATCTAGAATGAGGATGTGCCAAAGCAGTGTGGCCCCAGGGTCTGCGGGATGGGACCAGACCTCTGAGGTTGGGGTTGTTCACTCACCCGCCTTGGCCCCAGGGAGTAGGATCAAGGCCAATAGGAGCAGGAGTGGCTGCATCCTGCCCGAAAGTCTGCTCAGTCAGTTGCTGCATGTATCTCCTCCTGCCAGACTTTTAGCCTTTGAGAAAGGAAGGAAGGGGTAGGAGGGGGCTTGAGAATTTGCAGTCCCACGGTCCTGCTAGTGTGGTGGTTGCACCACCCAGGGCTGCCTAGGAGGTTTGCCCACCAACTGCCAGTGATCTGGGCAAAGCGGGAATCATCCAAGCCAACGTCCTGATCTCCCACTGAGTTGCTGAGTCAGTGGTGACAGCAGAAAGAGGAACTCAGGGCAACCAGAAGGGGGCCTTGGAGCTGTGTGCTCCAGAAACCTCAACCCACTCAAGCCCCCAGTACCTCCAAGAAGACATGAAAACAGGCAGCTGCCTACTCTCACCATATCCTATCCCTGTGACTTCAGAGCTTCCGTCCCTTGGAATCTTAATGAATATCTTTCTCTGGACGAATGCAAATTTCATGGATTACTTATAGATACTTACTGAGGCTTAGACAAGGCTGAACGAAATCTGGTGTGGTGTGGTTGGGGATGTGGGTGAGAACGCCAGGAAAAAGTCACAGGAGTCAGAAGAAGAAAGGTGAAACCTGCTTGCCTCCACCCTTGGATCACGGCCACCCTGCTGTGGTCCCTGTTTCTCCCACTTCTTTCTAGAATTTATCCAGGCAGTTAGCATAGCCACTTCTGTTAGTGGGTGCAATGTTCTGCCAGAGAAAGAAAATAAGAGAAGGCTTTGTCACTGATAGTTTCTCACGTCAACCGAGTTCCAACATACCTTCAGTGAAAATTATGACACAGCAAAAGACTTCTACTTGCCAATTCCTACTCAACACGAATGCCTTAGTATTCTCAGTGGTTTCCTGAATGACAGGATTTTGTTGACAGCTGTCAGACTCTAGCCAGAAAACACCCAAGATTCTGTTTCATTGATGGTGTAAGAAACCAAACCCAGTTCCAATCCTCTGTTTCATGGATAGTAGTTTCAAAACAGAGGCCCATTCATTGCTGTGCTACCTAGAAGACAAAAGGAATCCGAGTCAAACAGTCAACACTGGGGAAAAGATAGGGAATCACTGCAGATTCACATGTGGGTCATTAGGCACATTTAAAAATAGTTAGATGATTCTGTGTATGTGCAGAACAGCATTATAATCCTGTGTAATTTTTGCAAAAATAACTCAATTCTCAATGTTTTTTTTTCTCCATTAAGTTTATTGGTACATTCTAGGTATAAAATACAGTTACATACATCATTGGGACCTTGTACCATTACATGAGTATCTTGGTTCTTATTTTTTCCCCCTTCCCCTGCCCTCCCCTCACCCCCTCCATCCTTCCCTATTTGCAAAGACTTTGTTTCCATTTTTTCCTTTTCTCATATCTTGTTTTTTCCCTTCTTTCCTTTCCCCTACCCCTCCCACTTCCTCTGCTCCTTTAGACCTTTACTTCCTATTATACAATATCAATTATACATTTTTAAAATTACAATATCAAGATCTAGGAGACATTACCGAAGATTTTACAGAACTTAAAAGGATATAGAAAACATATTACAAAAATCTGTTTTGAAATAATCAATTCCCAATCTTTTAGGAAGTGTGATAGGCTCAATGGAAACATCTTGTGAAAATTAAAGATTCTCTCTTGACATATAAATACAGTAGATACAATTTTTCACTTAGCTTTAGAGGTGTACAGAGCTTAATATCTTCTTAGTACACAATCTATGAAATTTCTCTGTGTATCTGAAAAGCAATGTGAAGAAATAGAGAAAGTAGTATAACAGCTTTACTAGTGTCTTACCATTCGAGGTAATTTTAATTTAATGATTATTTTCAAAATTTTATTATGTTTTACAAACATCAAACTAAGTTTAAAAGTGTAGGAAAAGGATAAAAAACAGCTTGTAATATGAAAAAAGAGTAAAACATGTGTACTCAATAATGTGAATAAAGATGTGCATAGACAATTTCATTAACAGTGACCTAGGATTTCATGTCAACCTTCACACTAAAATCAGCCAAAACCAAAGCTGTATGAAATGTTGAACCATCTTCAAAGGCTTGAAGAAATGCCAATGCAAGAGTGATTATCAGGCCACATTTGAAGGAATAATGAGATTTCAGGTACAAGGCTACTGCTTTCTTGAGGGAATGTATTGAACCCATACAATTGGAACTTTTGCTTTGATACCCACGTAGGGTAGGATTCTCTAGAAAATACTCAAAGATTGATGTTTGATTTCTTCTGGAGAATGGATGCTACCCCTATCCTTTACAGAGCGAGCCTAGCTTTAACACCATAAAGACAACATGGGAAAGGGAAATTGCACACCAACATCCCACTTTGAATTTCAACACAAACCAAATCAATCAGTAAGAAAAAGGTATCTTGGGGGAAATTTGAGCTTATCTTAGTAACACTTATTTGGCTTTTCATTTGAAAAACAATTGCTGTAGCACATCATATTATTGATGAAAGAAGAAATACCTTATCATTATTTAGCTGAAGTAAAAACAAAAGTAAAAACAAGCATTTGCTAAAATTCATCCTCATTCATTTAAAATAATTTTTTAGCAATCTGGGAATAAAAAAGAGTCTTCAACCTGTGAAATTTATCTACAAAAATCCCAGAGCACTATTATGCTTAATGGTGAAATATCGACAGCTTTTTTTTCAGAGAAAAATAATACAAGTATACTTGGATACTATTATTCACTCTGTTTAATATGACAAATTTCTCATAATACAGCCTTTTATTATTGACTGAGGCTGAGTCCACCTGAGGAAGGGCCTAGTACACTACCAAAAAGTTATGTTGTCAATCTTTCTCCCATCCTTCTCCATAGAGACTTATGGTCTTTTACACTAGGGAAAAGAAAACAATTAGAAATGTTGGGGATTGTAGGACATTGGTTCTGAACTGTTGCTGATTCCTGGGTATCCAAAACATCATTGTAACTCTTCAGTAAGAGCAGAAGCCTATGAAAGTCAGGTGATCTATGGAGTTTTAGCAAAGGTCCAGTAGGTCCCTGAATCCATCTTATGATCATTCCCTCAGTTCCAGGATGCATAATTGGAATAGATATACTCTGTACTTGACAGAAACCTCATATTGGTTCCCTAACCTGTTGTGCAAAGACTTTATAGTGGAAAGGCCAAATGGAATATCTATCTGGGAAAGTAGTAAATAAAAAACAGTATCTTATCGCTGGAGAGACAGGAGAGATTAGTGCTACCACCCAGGGCTTGAAAGATGCGGGAGTCATGGTTTCCACATCACCTCTTTTAACTCTCCTATGTGGCCTCTGAAGATAAAGATGGCTCTTGGAGATTGATAGTGGAATACTGTAATCAAGTAGTTACTTCAATTGCAACTGCTGTACCAGATGTGGTTTCCTTGCTTGAACAGATTAACATGTCTCTTGGTGCCTGGTTTGCACTTATTAATTTGGCAAATGCCTTTTTCTTCATACCTGTACATAATGCAATTTGCTTTCAGCTGAAAAGGGCAGAAATGCATTTTTACTGCCCCACCTCAGGGATATATCAACTCTTTAGCCCTAGGTCACAACTTAGTTTCCAGGACTCTTGTATTGCACTTCTGCAAGTATCACACTGGTGCATAATATTGATGACATTATGCTAACTGGATCAAGTGAGCAAAAGATAGCAACCACTCTGGACTTCTTGGTGAAGCACTTGCATGTCAGAGCACGGGAAACAAATTCAAATAAAATTCAAGGGCCCCCTACCTCAATAAAACTTCCAGGAATCCAATTGTGTGGGGCATGCAGAGATATTTCTTTCAAGGTATACGATAAGTTGTTTTATGTAGCCCTTTCTACAGCAGAAAATAAGTCACAATGCCTAGTGGTCCTATTTGGATTTTGGAGGCAACACATTCCTCATTTGGGTTTATTACTACAGCCCATTTACCAGATGGCCTGGAAAGCTGGTAGTTTTGAATGGGGCCTAGAACAGGAGAAGGTTCTGCAAAAGGTCCAGTCTGTTCTGCTACTTGGGCCATATGATCTGGTAGATCCAGTGATATTTGAGGTGTCAGTGGCAGACAGGAATGCTATTTGGAGCCTCTGGAAGACTTCCATAGGTGAATCACAGCAAAAGTCATTAGGGATTTGGATCAAGGTCCTGGCATCATCTTCAGACAATTACTCTCCCTTTTAAAAACAGCTCCTGCTTTGCTACTGGCCTTAGTGGAAAATGAATGCTTTATTATGGGACACCAGGTTAGCATGTGACCTAAGTTGCTTATCATGAATTGGATACTATCTGATTCACTGAGTCATAAAGTTGGACACACACAGCAACAGTACATTGGCAAGTGGAAGTGGTATATACTTGACTGGGCCCAAGCAGGTCCAGAAGGTACAAGTAAGTTACATGTAGAGTATCCTACAGGCCCACTGTTCCTACTCATTCTATACTAGCTTCTGTCATCCAATATGCACCTATGGCCTCATGGGGTGTATTCTATGACCAGCTGACAGAGGAAGAAAAGTCTAGGACCTGGTTTATAGATGGTTCTGCAAGTTATGCAGGCATCACCCAAAAGTGGACAGTTGTAGCAGTAAAGCCCCTTTCCAGGACATTCCTGAAGGACAGTGGTAAACAAAAATCTTCACAGTGAGAAGAACTTTTGGCAGTGCACATGATGATACATTTTGTTTGGAATAAAAAATGGCCAGATACGTGGTTATGTAACCATTCATAGGCTGTAGCCCATGGTCAGGCTGGATGGTCAGGGATTTGGAAGGTAGATGACTGGAAAATTGTTGACAAAGACATATGGGGAAGAGGTACATGGATAGACCTCTCCATATGGACAGAGGATGTAAAGATATTTGTGTCCCCTATTAATAAGGTCACCAAAAAGTGACCTCAGCAGAAGAGGTGTTTAACAATCAAGTGGATAGGAAGACCTGTTCTATAGATAGTGATCAACCTCTTTCCTTAGCCACTCCTGTCATTGTCCAATGGTCTCATGAACAAA